AGCTCGCATTCAAGAATGGAATGGACTGGAACAGCTCACGTCGCTTGGCGTCGTCGTAGGACAGGCGCATGTCAGAGGAGGCTCCCTTGAACATGGCAACCACATTCTCGACGATGTCTTTGGTCTTCTGCAGCTGCATCTCGATTCTTTCCTTGCAGTATTCCCAGCAGGAGGTGCGGTTGAAGAGGCACATATCGTCCTGGTAACGCGGGTATTCCGAGCCGGGCACAAGTGGATGAAGGCAGCTGCTGGTGCTGCAGCAGTGCCCCTGCCAACTGTACGGACACGGAAGCTCACCTGCGCTGCAGCTGCCTCGGGACGGACCTTCATAGTTCAACGCATTGGTGTGCCCGATTTGCTGCAAGATTTTCTCGGTGATGACTTTCTCGAGAGCCTTCGTCAGTGCCACATCCATGTCCACACGGAAGCCCTGAAACATCTCCTCGAGGATGGGTTTGTTCTTGTCCGCCAGCACCGTGGTTGCATCCATCATGGTGCTCTCCGTGACGTTGATGTGCTTCAAGTGCATGGCGAACATTTTCACGGCTTGCACCTCGTGGGGCGCGAGAATGCGATGGACACTCCGCAGTGTCAACGTCGTCTCATGCCAGCAGGAAAGTGAGAACATGGACTTCATCGCAGGTGCGACTGTATCGATTGCCTCCAGCAGACGATCGACCTTCGATTTGAAGGCGTCGCAACTGGGTCCATCGTGGGTGGACAGATTGGCTTCCAGCCAGTACTCGCCTTCTGGGTCCGATGGAGCAGCCCCTTCGGTGGTGATGAAGTAGTTGACCGAAGTCTTGGGCACGATGTCATCACGACTGGGGCCGACCTGGTTGACAGCCGAGACGGTGGCCCACGTCTGCGCCTCTGCCTTGGGAGCGGCATTTAGGCCCGCATCGACATTCTCCACAACCGCCTCCACAGTGGCTTCCGCTTTGGCGATTTCATCCGAGGGTTCAAAATTGGATCCGAGCTTTGCGGCGAGGTTGCCATTGTTCCGACGTCCGGCCGAAGGGCTTGCCAAGCAGGAAAATGCTATGAATGCCACGATCGCGTACATGACGGTCGTTGCTGAGTGGGATTGCGCAAAAGAGCGGCGTGATGGAGATGCTCTCCAACGGGATAACGATATAGGCTTGATCGGGGCACTTGAGCCGCAGCCATGTGGTTGATGACGAGCGGTTGGATGCTGTTCGTCACAGCATAGAACATAGGAGGGTACGGTTTTGTTTGCTACACACTACAGAACTGAAAGCGATGCTGCTCTGCATTGCATGTGTACTCGTATGAAACGGACAAGCTCGTGTATGCCAGAAACAATAACGAAGCCATACCAGCCCTTGCCGGCGCAAAGTTCCACAATCAAAAATGATAACAATAATTGTTATATACTACTACTGTTATGGTTATTGTGGTTTAGGCTTGCGCAGGCAACAGACAGCCTCGTCATGCTCAGCGACGACGCCGATGATCTCCGGAGCAACCCGGGCCTCAGCACGATCGTTTTCTTGAAGGATCTGCCAGGATGCTACCTCTCTGCTTCAACCATATAGCTGAATATAGTAGATTATATGAGATTATATTCTGTTATGTTATCCGTTATATACTAACTATTCGACTATATTCTAGTATACTGTATCTTATCATGTTCTAGTAGTATATAGTACAATAAAAAACAAGACTTCTAAAATTATGATACTATTGTGCCATACTACAAATAATCCCAAACCTTCGTTACAATGCCGCGCCGCGGACCAAGAGCTTTGCAGAGTGGCATGCTGTGCACGAGTGCACAGGTCTTCGTGCAAAGCAGTGTAACTGCAAATCTGCATGATTTGTGTACCTGCGTATGTCCCACGTGTACTACGAGCTCGTGGAACAAACTATCACGCGACACCGAGTCACTCAGCAGGGCTCGCATGATGGGAACCCGACACAGGCTGAGTTGAGAAAACAACAAGAACCGACACTAGCTGTAGCTCATGTAAACTATAGCTCTTGATTATACCAATATAAGTTCCCCTAAACCCTAAACTATAATATAAGCCCCAAAACAAGACGCAGGCTCCCCACAAAAAGGCCAAGGGGTGCCGACCTCTGACAGGCCGTATACGTCAAAGGACTTCGGGCTGAGCGCGCTGCATCGGATCCTGGCGACCCCGAAACACCTGGTTTAGGGGTTTAGGGTTCAGGGTTTTTTTGGGGTATAGGGTTATAGGGTTTAGGGTGGTCAAAAAACGGTCGTAAACAAATCCTAAAACACTACAGGTCCTAAACCATGAGCTTTGCGTTCCAGCCTTGGCTTACGGAAGGCTTCAGGGCCCACTGACCCATGCCTGGAACTAGGAACAAGGGGCTGCTGCCAGGTCATAATCCCTAGTCCCTAAACCCAGGCTATAATGATGTAGGGACGAAAATAGGATGCTCCTCCTATTTCTCCAGCCACCGAAGCAGACCGGAAGACCGGAAGCTGTCGGTCAGGCAAAAGAGCGTTTGGGCTTCTTGGGGGTGCTGTCAATCAAGGTTTAGGATTTCAGGCTCGTTTCAAAACCTCCCGGCATAAACCCCGGACCCTTTATAAATAATGCTTGCCCATACTCTCACCCACTCGTACCGAGCTGACGAAATCAAACACACTGAAGCAACGCACTGAACAGCTTCACCCGAAAAAGCGATCGCAGGCACATGTTGAATGCACCTGCCTAGATGAGTTCGCCAGTATAGAGGCCGAAGTAATTAGAAAAGGGTTCTGGGAAAGTAATATTGAAAGGAGCCCTGAGGAACAGTATGTAGGATCGGATCATATCCGATCCAGTCTAATGGCACCCAGCAGCGCTGAAGCTTCGGGCTCGTAGGGCTTCGGGGTTGGAGGCATGTTAAAAGTGGTCTCAGCTGGCTATAATAATACACTTAAATGAGACACGACCACCACACTCTGGCATGAGAACAAGATCCACAGCATTTTATGAATAGGTCTCGAGTTTGAGCCTGTCCATAACCGCTATGGCCTCGTCAGAAGAGCCTCCAAAGCAGCAAGCCCAACACAGCCATAAACCCAAAACCCTCCACCAGGCAATCGGACACCCGGTGATCTGGAAACCGCCCGAAGGCGAACAAGCTGAAAATGCCTGATGAAAAGCCCTGAAGTTTGCCCGAAAGCCTCCTGACACTGAGGATGTCGCCAGATGGCATTCGGCCTCTTCTGGGGGAGCCTGCCTGAAGCTACCGGCGGGCTAACTTAATGATATAGAACGAAAACCAAAACACGAATCAAGACTCATACCAATACTCGAACTAATAGCATTATAGTAATGCTAATGCTAACCCGGATTCACAAGCTTTTGGGTTGAGTCTGCTGCCTCGGGATGCAAGAGGAATCAAGTACCCTTTTTGCTTGACATTGGGAGTGTGCACCAGTGCACGATGGTGCAAGTTCGCTGAAAAGCATGAAGGCTTGATTGCTGATGGCAAGCCCAAGCACAATCAAAACCTGCATCGCGGATGCCCGCTTTGACCCAAGAAGCCTGACTTCGTGGAGCCCTAAACCCTGAACACTAAATCCTCACCGTCACCCCTGCTGGCAACCTGCTCCAAAATCTCACACAGTCGTGCCCGAAAGGCCACCGCCCCGAGGAGACACTCGACTCAGTTCCAACCATGCAACCCGGAGGGGTTTTTACAAGAAACTCAAGAAAGGATTTTTTATACAAAAACCCACATTCAATTCCAACCATGCAACCCCTCATCACAGTATCCTGACATCTTCCAGTAGCCAGGACGGTGCGAGGCCAGGGGTGTTCTGTAGAAACTGCTTTTCTGCATCAACGGTCTTCCTTGAAGCATGAGGCTACGAACTCAGAAACCCCATCGTCAACATGTTAAACATGTGCATCAACATGACGCGAAGGCCAGAAACGTTCCTAAACTGTACTACGTCAGCCAAACGGAAAAAACCATATGCACGCTCTGGAAGGTCTCAGCTGCAGGCGGATCTATCGAAGCCCTGTGCGGTCGGCAAAACTTCTTGAAGGGACGTCTGCGTGCTTACGCGGTCTCTCTTGAAATTGGGTTCTCCTTCTTGGTCATCACAGTACATGTCCCTTATCGCGCTGCTTTGTCCCTCTCTGCGTCTCCCCTCCGCACTCTCCGGATGACAATCTATATGACAACGGTTTCGGGGTTGCCTCTAAAGATGTCTACAGAGTCTCCAAAGCTAACCTTAACTGACAAGAAGGACAAGCAAGTGCAAATCAGCTGACTGATAACACCGTAAGATGCAGTACGCAACATTCAGGCAGTCTCGAGGGCGACTCCCACAAAAATCTCCCAAAACGTACACGTACCTCCAAGCAACCATGCCAGGCTTAATAGGGCTCAAGACTCGGAGCTTTATCTAAGCTTTCTATAGGTTGTCAGGAATCTCGGAATTCACCAAAGCCGCAAGTCAAGACTCAAGTGTTCTGGGCTTGCACGGGAGGCGGGCCCTGACTACCCGTAGCAGCGCCAGACTGCACAGGAGCTCTCGATGAAGCGCCAGGAAGTCTTGCATCAAATGACCGAAGCACACGCTACCCACAACCCAAAACCCTCAAGCCAAATACAATACCCGAAACACAAAAAAACAAACACACACACACACATATATATATATACACACGCACCCCCACACACACACACACACAACCCCCCAAACCAAAACCTAAAGCCCTATCTCCCCGAAAGGTGCAGCCTTCCTCGTTCCACCCACCCCTTCAAGGATCCTCAAGGCATTCCATTTAACATTTGCCCGTCGGCCTCCCGCTCTCTGAGCCTGTCTCGTCCTGCTTTGGCGTTGAGGCTTGGGCTAAGGGCTTTTGGGGTTGAGGGTTTTCGGGTTTGGTTGGGTTTATGAGATGGACCAAGGATTGTGCCGAGGGAGTGGTGACCAGCAGTGTTATACTGCTAATTATGGGCGTCGGAGACAGCCTCTTCGTCACTTCGTTTCCCAAAGCATGCACCCGAGTTGTGTAGGCTTACATGGCCATAACATATCTTGCTCTGGAGCTTAAGTTGTTGAGGTAAGAATGGGTTGCCTGTGACATGTGGCACCAAAAAGGCAATTCGTTGAACCAGGCCGCCATAACACTTCGCAGTCAGCTCTGTCTCATCCTGTCGAGAACCATCACCCGTGCAGTCCAGACAGAAGACTTCTCTTTTAGTGCTGTCTCATCCTCTCCATCAACCGTGAGGTTTAAGTGACAACAGCCGCAGACACAACGACTATGCGATTCCGATGGACTTACAAAGGAGTCGGGTTTTGGGGTTTGGGCCGTTGTTACCTCCCATCCTGGAACTGCCTCGAGGGGCTGCAGCCGGCACTGGCTGTTAAAAAACAAAGGTTTCACTACTGTATAGGGGACGGCGCAGTGTGCAGCTGAGCCCGGCACGGCTGCGGCGGCGGCCCTCGTGACCCCGGCGGCGACCCCAATTCACAATCTCGCCCATCAGCGCGCCCTCCTGTTGAAAAAGGATCCTAGCTTCAGCCCGAAGCCCACCGTAACCCTAATCCTCTAGACTCTAAACCCGACACCCGCCACTACAAAAAACCTTCAACATTGAGTTCGAGGATGAGGAGCTGATGCGGAGCCATCAGCGCCACTATTACACACTTGCGGATGCTGCATACTTCTTGCGGTCAAGATAAGACTTCGATCGGCGATGTCATGTGAAGTGAATGCTGCAGCCTGCCTGGACATCGGCCGTCCCAGGAGTCAGATTCTCAGGGTTCACGTCCTTGCAGCTAGGAGTTGCAAAGAATCCCAGTATCAACCCCTAGCCGGCCCTAACTGCTAACCCCGAGAAAACTACGCCCACAAGGCATAGAAGTCAGCTGAATAACGGCAACTGAAGGGCGTGTATGCGACACGTTTGAAGTGGTGCAGTCGTTTGGCTTATCAGTGTTGCCAGTTGGCAGTCGATACCAGATTTCGTAGCGGGTTGCGTGGAACATAGCAAGAAGGATCGACGGCAACAATACTGAACATAATCATAATCATAAGAATAAGAACAACAATAGTCAAC